GTTCTCCAGCCCTTTGATCATCTTTGTGGCTCTCCTTTGGACTCTGAGCAGCCTGTGTGCATCTGTTTTGAATTGTGGGGACCAGAACTGGACACAGTACTCCAGGTTCAGGGTTGTGTTCTTCCACCCTGCTCAGTCCTCCACGAAAGGATGGAGGGATTCTCATCAGAATCATGTTTTGGAGTTAACTACTGAGATAAATGTTACTTTAGGCTCTCCATCACTGCAATAGTTTCCTTCAAGTCCATCTTCCTGTTTTACTCCAACCAAAAGGAACTTTCTTAATCATAAAAAGTTCAACTCATAGAATAATTCAAGACCAAAGAGTTAAAAAAAGACCAACAGCAACTGGTGGCTGGGGAGCAGAGTGGGGAAGGAGAGGACAAGGGACATGACAATGCCAGTAGGAACAGAATCAACTCACTTAAGTTGGCAACATTTTTACTTCAGAAGCAGCCTGTGCCCAAGTGCAAGGAGAGATCCTTCTCTGATCTGCTCCAAGCAGAAGGACAGGCACAATTCCTTGGTTCCCACTTTCTCCTCTTAACAAAGCTAAAACCACATTGTGAATTGATTTGGCACACAGCTTATGGATTGCATCACGTTGAACAGCTATAATCTACAAAACCTGCCAGGTCTATCTTTCATCTTTATCTGTGTAATTTCATCATCTATGGAGATTCAGGTACTCAGTGGAGCTTCAGACAAAAACAATCTGGCACTGAGTCCAGCCTACCTATACAACACCATGGTGCCCTTGCAATAAAGCATTTCAGGTAGGGACAGCTGTTATTTTCTTACAACCTGAGCCAACAAAGGAAATTATCCTAGTTTTAGGCCCTCACTGCCTCTAGTCTCATAAGACCTAGGTGATCATTCTGGGTTTTCCTATTTCCCATTTCTGAGGGAACACTTGTTTAAGGTAAATTTTTCATGAAAGTGCAGGTGAAGAATAACAGCTCCTTTCACTGGGACCTCCTGACCCTTCTCAGAAGTGTATTTCTAGCACACTAAGGATGGTTGCAAGGAATTATGCCAGCAGGTTTTGCCCTCTAGTGGAAGATGAAGCCAAACACAACATACGATTGGAAATTTAACATCTTGACCGACCATGTGTTTATGGGATGGCTGAAGGGACAGCAAGTGGGTCATGGTGCATGTTGTCCCATAATCCTAATGGAGGTGGAGAGGGGGAAGTCTAAGGAATTCACAGAGGTAACAGTCAAGGTTTAGTAGTGAGTTAAATTCCCATGCTGTACTAGCAGGAGTACTCCAGGCATTTTAACAAGCCCTTTTAGACGTTTCAGAGTTAAACCAGTGAATGTGCATACACAACATATTTCACTACTCTAAGTTGTCAGTAGTTAATGGTATTTCTGGCTAAAAGGTCCCAGTACAGATGTGCTTTTTGCACCTGAAGGATAAAGTCTTTTTCTCACTAAGATTTTCAAAAGATTGGGATTGACTCAAGGAGACATACCCAGCTTCTGGCACACATGTCTCACTTAGGTTTTGTCATGGCTGTTGACATAATACATCCTGAATTCTCACCCACTTGGCTGAGCCCAGACCAGAAACTCCCCTGTGCTGTGCCTTGAGCTCAAGAACCAGAAAATTTGGGACAAGCTGTGATTAGTTCCAGCAGAAGCTAATGCATTGCCCACCAAGAGAGTGAGTGTGAGCAAACAAGTGGAACAGAGCCTGGTGGTGGCCAAAGCAGCTGGAAGGGAACCAGGCAGCAGTCAATTCACACCAACCTTGCCTCCTGCCTCTCCTCACCAAAGGCACCAGTTCTACTTCCGTTAATGATAAACCTTGGCAAACTGGCCTCACAGCTTCGTGCCAAGTGTAACTAATATCCCTCTAGTTCATCCTTATCTTGCTGCTTCTGTTGGCCAAAGTGGTTTGTTGT